TTAAAGATCAAATCTGTGGTTTATTTATATATGTTTGATAATTTGACTGAGATCCATTCCAAGCGATCACCGGACGCTCGCGCTCGTGTCCCCCGTCTGGAACAGCCTTTCCTCGGCTAGTCATCCTGATGTTTGCCGCTGACGCGGACGTCTCTGTCTGTAGTGGTTAAACATGAGATATAGTTCGTCTTGTATAAACCTAACAGGTGATCTTTAGTCTCGTGAATCTATAATTCATTCCCTGGCCAATAGTTTTGGCAGAAGGCTACGTGAAGTTTCATATCTTTGAGCGTTGATTTTGTATATTTCACTGACTGAATTGTTTCTTGATGTTATTTAAGCTTTACTGTATTTTGTACCTTTTACGTATACTTTTATAATGGCTATTGATAAAACTGAAATTCAACAAAAAGAGATAGTTTTGTCTTTTTTTTTTTTTACAAGATCGTCTGTAATGTTCTTTATTGCAACATTTGTACCAATGCATGCGATATGCAATACATTACATTACATATTGCCTGAAATATGTTTAATATTTTAAAATTTAAACGAAAAGAGGCAGGGTTGTTTTATATAGTTTTGTTATAAATATATAATGTTACATACATGCTGTGATAATCAATAGGCTATGTGTTGCCTAAACCACATTTATGTGCTTTAGAATGTTTAAAATGTATTGAAATGAAATCGAAAAGAAGCAGAGTGGTGTTTTATTACACATTTCGTTTTATTGTTGCCTAAAATGAACATACAGAGATAACCGGAGTCGCAGAGCCAGAGCGAGCTGAGTGAACGCGCTGTTCGGGATCATTCTCCTGAGTCGGACTTTGCGTTGGCTTCTTGGAAACGCCTAATGCCAGCGCTTGTTTCTAGTGACAAACATGCCGAGATGCAAGAACAAGATCTGCTGTCTGTCATCCATTGTTGTTTACTGTCGCCTTCTTCGCGCGAAAATGACGTCGATCGCTTCTTTCCAGCATACCACGCCTATCAAGTAAGGGTACTGTTGGCGGTGGAAACGCAAGCCTGATCACGGTGTACCCGACCCGACCCGTACTGTACTGTCCCGTACCGTACCGCACCCCTCAGTGGAAACGAGCCATAAGCAAACCATCAGCAACTGGATCTTTCAGACTATTTCCCAGGCCTATCAGGTCCGCAATTTGCCTTCACCTATAGAAGTGAGGGCTCGCTCTATTAGAGGCATGGCGTTCTCCAAAGCCCTCCTGTCAGGGGCACCTATCCTTGATATACGTGAAACGTCTGCTGGGCCACTCCACACACATTCATGAGATTCTACAGTCTAGACCTTCCCTGACCTAGGTTCTACAGCCTAGACCTTCCCGCAAAAGCGCTTTCATTGTGTCGTCCACGATGCAGTTCGAGTTCCCTCGTATGTAACCCTTGTTTGCTGAGAAAGGGAATTAGACACTGCGTCGGTTCGCCACGCCTCACCCCGCCTCGCTCAACTTGCTTCATAGCAAAGCTGACTTTTCTGTGTGCCGGTGTGCTTTTGTATACATCCGTATATGCCGTCACACGCTACGTCATTACGCAATGCCAATAGGATTGGATTAGTTTTCATTCATAAATGCAGATGTGCTATGCTGAAGGGCGTTTCCATAGTGTTGTCATCGACGCAGTGTCTCGTTCCCTTTCTCAGGGAACAAGGGTTACGTATGTAACCTGAGACGTTTTCCGAGATTTATTTCAAATTCCTTTGTGAGTAAAGTCATTAAAAGTGGGCAGAAAGAATAATAAAATCATTACTTTCAAGTTTCAGTCTTAAAGTTTTTAGGTAGACAATTTTAACAGACATTTGAGCTTCATGTTGCTTCATTATATTTTTGAATAACAATTGTGGAAAAATGTATGTTATTTGTATTCTTTAATGTAATTATTCCTTTGACAGAAAACACTCATAAGTTGTGTTTTGCCTTTTTTGTGGACTGAAAGCGTTTGTTTATCTGTTTAGTTGAAGAGAACATGCTCTCTCACTCTTCTTCTTGTTTTAAGGGAAAAACAATGTGGGCTGTGTGACATTTTCCTTTGCACAGTCTGTGTACCGGCCAGTAGAAGAATGCCTGTTAGTTCACCACATGTGCCTCTGACTCCTTCTGTATGAGCAGTAGAAGGGGGGGCTCACTTTTTTTCTTTTTAAAAGACAGACTGATCTCCTGAGATGCTTACTTACATCTACAGAAGGACAAGCCTTCACAAATCACTATCCCAGCTGCTCTATTTTTCTTTCCTATAGCTGCAGAATCCCCTCATCTTCCAGTTACCTTAGAAGCCAGCCACACATTCGTAGGAAATCTTTTTCTTCCTCTTTTTTGCTAATAAATCTCACCTCAGTTTTAGTTTTCTTCCAACCTGTTTTGAAACCTTGCATATTGCCTGTATAGAAAAGAGTTAATGGAAACACTATGTAGCTGCAGATATATGCACTGGTCATTAAACTCGCTGATCCAGTCAAAAAGTAAATGGTGACTTCACTTACTTATTGGAAAAACCCATTTACTAGACTACGAGTTAATTTCTTAGAGCGCATGGGAAATTACTTTTATAATCCATCATATAATGTTTTATGTAACATATTTAAAAATCATTAAGCTGTTTGTTCAGATGTTGTGTAAGGATAGTTTTGTTGCTTGTATATGCTGTTTTAGTTGGTGTATTCCTGTACTCCTTTGATGGGAATGCTTTGTTGCATCACAAAGTAGCTTGGATAACAAGAATTGTTTGTGAAAAGTTTACTTGGTTTTGCGCCATGACACGGAAACCAATTCTATATTTTGAAGTCTGTTGTTGACCACAGTGTCCAATTTAGATTTTGGAAACACACAGTTCTTAATTAAATCCGTTCAACCTGCAGCTGTAACAGCTTGGTCAGAGACATTGGGAAAATGACTGACATTCACACACACACACACAAAAAAAAAAACTTTTGATTTACAAAAATGACTATTTTGTGTTTGAGTGTTCGGTTGTTCATCTGTTTAGTTTTAACTCATGTGAAAATGCTAGACGTTTTAAAATACATAATAGCCCTTAGGTCATATTAATAAACATCTATCATTCTAGAACTCTATCCACAGTGTATCCATGTAGGAATAAACCCACATAATTGCACTGCTTGCATTTCCAGTGTGGTACAGTAAGGATACCCTTTTAGTTTACCAACTGTTTATCCACAACCACATTCTCATTCCTAGTTTGAAATCCCTGACTTCAGCTTATATTACTTACTTGACTTTTTTTTTTTTTTTAACAAAAGACACCTTTCTTTTGGTTTATGTAGTCACGGGAACCAGAGGAAAGAGTCTCCCAGTGGTGACCACTTCATTTTCTCTTACTCATTTCATGGAAAAATTATGTTCTACGGAAGGGGTCTTCAACTTTTTTTCAGGCTAATGTCTGATCATTACAGTTATTTCCCTTTTAATTTTACTTAATACAATTGTATTGTGGGAGAGACAATGAAACTTTTAGCTCAACTTTAGTGCCTTTTAACTTCAATGTTGTATTTTTTAATGTTGTATTTTAAAAATCATCAAGGCTGTATTTATTTGATCAAAAATACCGGTACAGTAAAAAAAAAAAATGAAAAAAAATAAATAAATAAATAAATAAATAAATATTGGTTTCCAATATTTAATACATTTTTTAAATGTATTACTATACTATTACTATACTTTATTTTATACTTTGCCATTTCTGTGATGGCAAAGCAGAATTTCTAGCAGCCATTACTCTATTACTATTACAGTCTTCAGTGTCACATGATCCACTGCTGCTGATTTGGTGCTCAGGAAACATTTCTTATTATTACCAATGGATAGAAATAGGTTCTAGAATTAATAGGTTCTTTGATGAATAGAAAGTTAAAAAAAATACTATTTATAATTTATGAATACCAAATATTTTGTAAATTATTATTATGTTTTATTGTCAATTGATTTTGATTAATTCCTTTCCAAGAAAATCTTTCTGACCCCAAACATTTGAAGTTTTTGAATTTCACAAATAACGCCAAACAATAATTGGCAGAAATCCACTGCAATCCCACCACTCTTCTACAGCATGAGGTTCAGGGGGCAATAGAATATTTAGGCCACTAGATTTGCTGAGCACAGCAACACACAGTTTCTCAAAACTCAACCCATATGGTATCATAGCACAGGAATGTAAATCTGCTTCTAAAGCCCTTCATGTAATCTTGGAGTCTGCTGAAATGATTGAGCTTCACTCCTCCTGATTGATGTACAGTTCATGCAAGCCTATATTCACCATGGAGTTTGTTAAAATTTGTAATAATACCTAAATAATTAAATGGGATGAGTTGCATTTAGATACCGCTATGTAAATGTAATGCCATACAGTATGTGAAGCGCCTTCTGATATTTCGATGTTGCATAAGATGCTCTCCACGTGCTTCAATTTTCCAGACTTTCTCGTAAACTTTGCCTGATTATCGAGGTGTCTGGGATTATTTGATGTGAGCTTGAAAGGAGTAACCTCTTGTTTGTCTTTATCCATATACTATATACGTCAGAAGCCATTAAATGCATTTTTATAGTCTCGACACGGACGTGAATTGTTGTTGGCCTGAGGGTAAACACAGTTGGACGATTTTTCAGAGGTGGAGCAGGTCAACAAGTCCTGCTGATAGGATGTTTAGAATGAAGTAAGAAATTGTAAAACTGGTTTAGTTTTATAGTGACTGTGGTTAAAGTGTCCAATTACGAGTTTCACAACATGGGTACATTGAATAATGCTAACACAGAACAAATGGAAAATTTCCGCTATTCAGAGGGAACCTTATTATGTATACGAAAATGGAGTAACCTTACAGACAGGGCATTTCTTGTTACAACTTATATGTTTAATCTGTCTTAAATGTCTGGCCTGCAGTTTGTCACCTTCCTGCAATTATATTTGTTGCTAATACAAGAATAAATCAACTTCAGTAACAATACTTCACTTCTTTTGCCCTTCAGAGTCTGAACATTCAGGTGGAGGATGTTCGTATTCGCCCCATCCTGTCATCATATCGTAAGCGCATCCCAGTGACAGAGGGCTACGTGGAGGTGAAGGATGGAGGCAAATGGAAGCAGATCTGTGATGATGACTGGACTCAGATGAACAGCAGGGTCATCTGCGGCATGTTCGGCTTTCCAGGAGACAAGAGATACAATACCCGTGTGTACAAGTGAGTGCTCGCTTTCCCTTAAGTTGAGGTGACTTTGCATATATTTCTTTAGAATATAACTGTAAGTTATCCAATGTTTGAGTTTTATTACAAAACTTTTATTTTATTTTATTATTTCATAAATTTTAATATATATTTTTAAATCATACCAGGATACATTTCATACTGTTAGTAGTGTATTGTATAAATTTCATATTTTTTATTATGCAAACATCATATAACCACTGGTTACTTCAAGCAAGTTTAGGCAAATAAAACATTTCTTTTACTTTCATTTAATTTGCCGTATTTGAAATCACACCATGAAGAATGTTTCTCGCAAGTCTTCAAGACAACCTAATCGCTGCCTGAAATCTGCAGATACTTTCTGCTAAGCTATTACATTCCATGCTGTGTTCGTAATGACTCTCAAGAGTTGCATAAATCTCCATGAGTTCTTTCATAACTATGTGGAAATTAGCACTAAAATGCCTAGTTAGTAATTAATGGTAATTAATGTGCTTTATGAGCAATCAAGGCACAATAGAAGAGAAAGCTTTATAGTGGGCTGTATGATCTCGGACTGTTCGCCTAAGCTACGTGCTTCCCCGCACATGTTGCGCCTTATGAAATCTGTGCTTGATGTTGGGGGGAGGGGGGACACGTAGCCAAAGGCTGTAGTTTTTTCAGCGTGGAGCCAAAATGGGCTTCCTTTCAACTACCTCTGTCTGCCCTGTGGCTTTATACCGTGCTTTTATAAGAAAACTTGGACAATCCTTTCAGAGGGCCGTGCATAAATGGCTCCTGTAAATAATATGGGTCTTTCCCTGGCTGGAACAAGCAGATGATGTTTTCAGATGATAAAGTATGGAAGTATAACAGCTCTCCCAGCTGTTCTCACAAACACTATAAATTAAATACCAGGTTATATGTTCAAGCTTTTGTAACATTTTTTTTTTTGTAACTTCAGATCAAATCTGTGAGTTAAATGTTATGTCCACCTTTTCTTTTGTATCTCTTAAAGCCTGTATGTTTGTGTTTGTCTACATTTGTTTTGCTAATAGTAGAAATCTGACAGACTTTGGAGCAAGTCTAGAGTGAGACATTCTCTCCCTTAGAGTTTAAATGAATAACAAATATGGATTGTGTCTTTTTTTTGTGTTTTTTTGTGTGTGAATGATGGCCAGTATACTTCTGACAGGGGAGCTTGTTAAATATTCTGTTTGTAGGATTAGCACTGTTTTTCCTGCAGGAATATATGACATCACTTCAGCTGCGCCTCATCCTTTTGCAATACCAAGTGTATTGAATGTTTAATGAAGTCATGAATCTTTACTAGCTAGCCCTATTATGGCTAGAATCTTCCACTTGAGCCTAAACATGGGTTTTGTGTGAGTTATGTTTATTCTACTCAATTCTCAAATCCCCCTTTGTTTGTTTCTCAGGATGTTTGCCCGCAGGAGAAAGCCAACTTACTGGGATTACTCCATAAATTGCACCGGAAATGAAGCTCATTTGTCTAGCTGTAAGCTGGGCCACACACTCACCATCAAAGCCAATAGCACGTGTGAGCAGGGCACTCCTGTGGTAGTCAGCTGCGTCCCTGGCAGAGCTTTCGCCCCGACTCCCATGTCAGGATACAGGAAGGCCTTCAGACAGGAGGTGAGGCCAGATGATACATTTTCTCCAAAAATACAAGAAACCACATGTCTACATGAGGTATTGCTTTGCACTGAACTTCTGACTCTCACCTTTGAGAAGACTATTAAGTATGGAACAGATCTCAACACACTTTATCATCATAGTTATAGAAAATCTTGATCTAGACTTAGCGGCTACTTTAAAGTGAATGGTCTCTTACTTATTTAAAGAAGAATGTAAGGCAAAAGTGGCAGTTTTCAATTCCAGGATTTTCAGTTGCCGCAAAGTCTGATTATATGAATACTAATGTTAGAGAGCAGAGAAAAGATATTTTTAAATCTCTAAAGCCCTATGATGACAGACATTTTACCCGAAAATGACATCACTCTTTCCAAATTACATATTTAGTCCATGTGGAAGCCTGCCTGTTACATACCATTCAGCGAGGTCAGTGAGTTCATTAGCATGATGTATAGCTGCACTATTTGTGCCTGTTGTGTATTCCTGAAAGAATTCCTGCAGAATATCCATTCTTTTAATGATGAAGGTTTTGGAAATTTGTAAGGATGTATCAAATTGATAAAAAATTTAAAGTAAAGACATTAATAATGGTACAAAAAACATACATTTTAAATAAATGCTGTTCCTTTGAACTTTTCATCTTTTCATCAAAGAATCCTAAAAAATACATTATGGTTTCCACAAAAATATTAAGCAGAATAACTTTTTTCAATGTTGATCATAAACATAAATGTTTATTGAGTACCAAATTAGCACATTAGAATGATCTCTGGAGGATTATGTGAAACTGAGTAAAGACTATCAAGTAATGATGCTGAAAATTCAACTTCGCCATCACAGAAATAAATGTCATTTTAAAATGTATTAAAGCATAAGAGAAAAAAAAAAAAAAAACGTACTAGTCCCAAACGTTACCGCAACAGTCTATTATAATGGTTTACTAACTTTTGTAATGAACATATTAATTATGATGTTTTTTCATGCACATCTGATGTAAACTGGTTGCCCGAATTACCGTAAAACTTCTCAAATATGAATTCCTACTTGAGTTTAGCACTATTTAGCTTTCCTGCTAAAAGGAATCGGTCTTTCTCCTTCAGTATTCCTCTTCCTTCACATATAGCAACCCCTGGTGCGTCTCAGAGGTGGTGCTGTAGTTGGAGAGGGGCGTGTGGAGGTGTTGAAGAATGGAGAATGGGGCACGATCTGTGATGACAACTGGAATCTCGTAGCAGCTACTGTGGTGTGTCGTGAGCTTGGATTTGGGAGTGCCAAAGAGGCGCTTTCTGGAGGTCAGCTTGGACAAGGTGTGTATAGGTGAATTGATCTAAAAGTTCTAAAGCAGATGCTACAACCTCCCTGACTTACATTTATTTGCTTGTGCCCTTTTAAGGGATTGATAGCTCATTTTATGTTATAACTAAAATGAATACATTGTTATTATGAAAGCAATTTAATAAGTAAGGGGTGGGAGGGGAAAAATGAATTAAGCTGAAAATATTTCTCTCCTGGTCTGACATAACAGATAATATTTGTCAGAATATATTTTAATCATTTATTTTGGCCTTAGTATAATATAAATATAAACAATATAAAAGCCAGTTATTTAAAGGGGTCATGAACTGCTATGATTGGGTAACATTTGCATATGAAGAAAGTATTACACGTGGAACTCTTTTTAAAACCTTTACCTAATTCTTCTATTAGTTGAAAACAATTTATTTTGGAAGCTTGGTTTCAATTAAAGCTGTTTGATAATTGAGTTATGGAATTTACAGTATGTTGTTATAGTACAAGGGGCATTGGTCCTCATTTATCAAAAGTGCGTACACCAAATTTCCAGCGTACACCCAAAACCACGGTGACTTTGAGATTTTTCAATATGGACGTTGGCCATATTGGAAATTATGTTTTCTTTCTATGGTTATTAGATATGAGTATATAGGTAGGGATTTTATTACTAGGATTGAACATGTGTCTATGACCATTTATGGGTCTGGATAAAAACATGTATTTTCCAGGAATGGGCCCTGTACATATGAATGAGGTGCAATGTTCTGGCTTTGAGAAGTCTGTCACTGAGTGCCCCTTCAATATGGATAAAGACTCTGAAGGCTGCAGTCACGAGGAGGACGCAGGCGTGAGGTGCAATGTTCCTGCCATGGGCTTCCAACAGAGGGTAAAAACTTACTTAAATTGACTGACTACCGAAATGCATTTTTACTGTCAGAGAGTATAACATGGCTAGCCTGCTCTTTATTATTGCAGCTGCGGTTGAGTGGTGGGCATAACCCCTTTGAAGGACGCGTTGAGGTTCTTATGGAGCGCAACGGTTCTCTGGTGTGGGGGACTGTGTGCGGTGAGGGCTGGGGCACTATGGAGGCCATGGTGGTCTGCAGACAGCTGGGCCTGGGCTTTGCAAGCAGTGCTTTCCAGGTATGTTTACTCCTTGAAATGGACATTTGAGTCCCACATTGTTATTCTTTTACACTTCTGATAACTCAACAGGCTGTTGGTAAGGTATGTCTATCCTTCTCATCGGATCATCCCTTGATCTTAGTAAGTTGGATGTTGGCCCTTTGAAGAAATTCATGGTATTCCAAACTCGCATTAATATTCAGCTATTTTTGTATTAGCAGGGATGGTGGAGGACTGCTGTTGAAATCAAAGCTCTGTGTGGGCTAAAAGTTTTTCAGTGACATCCTACTATGATTTCTACACTTTATTAAAACCAAAACAAATCAGTTCTGGAATGTTTCAGGTCAATTTGATTTATATCGACTATCTTGTGACAGTCAAGTGGGATTCCTGTGGGGTCCTTTAACTGTTCCTGCTGTTTGTCAATAGGAATTCACAGCATTCCAATACTCAGGCACGTTGTCTAGTCTAATGACATTTCATTTGTCAATTCACAGAAGGGATTTTGTAAACAGAGTAGACTGGTGTACCTTCTAAAAAATGTATTGTGATTTGTCAAATATGTCCACAAAGAAACTAGATTTTTTTTTTCAGTAGTGCAATTGACTCTCTACTCACTGTACCCTGTACCCTGTCCAATGTGGAATTCTTTCTTTTAATAGCCTCAGACAAAACGAGTTACTGCAAGAAAACGTGTGTACTTGTATATTTAAAGTCTGAAATGAATCCCAGTTTTATTAGAGGCACAGCTCAGCTTGAAGTCGTCCTGTGAGAATGATGTTTCTAATGGTAATTAGTAGAAAAACCAGCTGTTAAGACATGTATTTTTTCCTCAGATTAACCTTCTTAAATACATGCTTTCTGACAGTTATAGATGTCTGTGTTTACGGTTGCCAAGAGAAACCATTACTCCCTTCTGGTTTGACAACGTTGAAGATAAACTGTTACACCTGGGAAGCATTTAAGAAGTTAAGAGTTAGAGACTGTCTAGTCCAAGAGGAAATTATATCTCTTCATCAAATGGATCTTAAATAGATAAGAAAGAACAAAACAGTTGACTGCCACAGGGAAGGTTATTGTTGTGTTGACAAATAATGTATGTCTGGAAATGTTTAAACAATACGGACTCTGTTTGTTTTTATTGTAAATAATTAAATTATATGAAACATATAGGACTTTAGTGTAGGTAACTTACCATAACAATATGACATCAAAGAGAACATTTTGTTGCCCTGGGTATTATGTTTAATTCTCCTTTGGCTACTATTTAGTTTTTAGACTTTGCCACAGATGTGTGGCTGCTGAGGACTTTTCTCGATTAGAACAAAAAGTCCCAGAGGTTTTGATAAGGTGACAGGAAATAGCACCATCTTGTGGTTATTTTACATTTTACGGTTCTGTTGATATTTTGCCTCAACTTTGTGTTCTCTCATTTTAATATCTAACATATGTTATTTCATAAAGGTGCATTCAATAAGAAAAAATAATTAAAACATATTATTTATATTATTTATCATTTATAATATTATTAATATTAAAAAGAATAAAAAAAATTACACTAGTCTTATAGCATAGGGGTGAATGAGATGTAAATGTAGCATAACTACATGTTTTCAATTACCAGTGCCATTGGATTAGCTTTGATTCCTTTATTAAAAGAGTGACCAGTAACAAACAGGTTTCTGAGACAGTGTTGTTTTAGTATTATTTATAAACAATTCTCTTATTATTTCAGTTTTTAGTTTGAGTAATTTTAGTACTTCAACTTAAACTTATCAGTAAGTTGCCGAGGCAACATTTATTTTTTTTATCTAATATTTGTATTTTATTTTTATTTCATCACAGTACTGAGATAAACCAAGTATTATATACATCTTATAAGTATTACACACACCTCATCATGTCTGCTCCCATGATGCAACTCGCTCCATTTAAAACAGCTATGTTACTATGAGTCTTCATTAATGAATCACTTGAACTGAGGTGGGATTTTGTGTTTGTATAGGAGACATGGTACTGGCCTGGTTCAGTGAATGCAGATGCAGTGGTTATGAGTGGGGTAAGGTGTGCTGGAACAGAGATGTCTCTCTCCCACTGTCTACATCATGGAGAATATCTTAGCTGCCCTAAAGGTGGAGGACGCTTTGCTGCTGGTGTTTCCTGCTCTGAGAGTATGTATTATCATCAGAATATTCAAATACAGTAATTTTTGTAATAATTACTGTAATTAAATGTATGTAATTCTATTACCGTCAACTAATTATTTCCTGGGGAAACACTGACCTCTACTGGTCTCTTTGAAAATACCATGCAATCCTGTTTGTATTGTGTCATCAACACTTAGCACCCTATTTTAACGATCTAAGCACATGGTCTAAAGCGCAGGGCGCAAGTGAACTTAAGAAGTGTCTGAATCCACTATTGCTAGTTTAACTACGGGGAAAATGGTCTTAAAGAATTGTCCCTCTCTTAATGAGTAATGGGTGTTTTTTGGGCATAATGTGCAATAAACCAATCAGAGTATCATCTCCTATTCCCTTTAAAAGCAAGTTGCGCTTGCACCAATGTTGATTCTCTATTTACATAGAGGAATTTTTGAAGCGGAAAAACTGAATGCTTCTCCAGAGAGGAATCAAATTTTCTTGTGGGCGAAGTTAAAACGTGCAAGCAGACCATCTATGGGACAAGCCTGATTCCACCATATGTTTATGTACACAATACTAATCTTTTACATTATAATCCTTTTATTTTTAATATTTGGCATGTCTGTGCGCTGCTGCACGACCCTGTGTATGTAATAAGCAGAGTATGCACGTGTTGTGGACCCGCCTATAGGCACACATTACTCATGCACCCTTTAAATAACAAAAAAAACATTGTGCCATTGACTTTAGACCAGGTTTTTGTTGGTCAATTGCACAGGCTATTTCTCCATCAATGCGCCCGAACACACGCCCATGGGCGCAAATGCATTTGCTATTTAAACAACGTGGCACAGGATGTGAAAATGGTAACTGCGTCGGGCAGTTGCATCATTGCACCGGGTGTATGATAGGGCCCTTATCACAATACTACATGATTACTAATATAGTTTGTGGTGTATTATGTGTTTAAAACATCTCTTTTTCAGGTCATATGGAGTTAAAAACATTGAAAAATAATGGATAAGCCTTTCTTTAGAACTCTGACTGGAACACTTGTTTTAAAACATAAGCTAAGAGTTTTTATTTCCCACCAGCTGCCCCAGATCTGGTGCTCAACCCCCAGGTGGTGGAACAGACCACATACTTAGAGGACCGACCTATGATCATGTTACAGTGTGCCTATGAGGAGAACTGCCTGGGCTCAACCTCAGGTGCCACCCCAGCCAACTCCTATCGCCGACTCCTTCGCTTCTCCTCCCAGATTCACAACAATGGACAATCTGACTTCAGACCCAAAGCCTCCAGAGAGACCTGGGTTTGGCATGACTGCCACAGGTGAGGGGGGTCTGATAACTGGCGGGGACAATTCATAGATGCCACCTATGTCACTCCAAATAGAACGCCGCCATATTTACTGTACAACCGATCTCACACGGTATGGCCGCCCGAACTGTCCATTTGAATGAGAGAGAGAAAGACAGAGATGGAGAAAATTTCAATTTTAGGCTCCGATCCTTATTTGTTACGCCCAGTTTTCTTTTTTTCCATTTTTATCTGCCCCAGACTTGCCCCAATTGGCCTTCCATGATATATAAATATCTCTTGTGCATAACTCCTCTCTATAGGCTACAGTGGGGATCACTTGAAGGCTTTCCAGAGTACCGATGATGCATATGCTGTGGCTGGATGAGTAAAATACGTAAACGTACAGGACCTGGCCACCAAGAATTTATATTTAATTATGGGAAATGTAATACGTATTATTAAAAAAAATTCAAATGTATGATTTTGGTGGTTGTTTGCTCTGACTAGGTAGTGTTGTTAGCTAGTTAAGTGGCAAGCTACCAGCTGTTAGTCACGGCTCACGGCTAGCTGCCATTAATCTGGATTAGGCCTGTTGCGAATAAATCATTTAATCGCGCAATAAAAAAAATGAGCTCGATAATTTTTCCGGCCGCTATAATTTCCATTTGCATGCTTGTTTGTTTTCCTTGCGTCTCTATCTTTCTCTCTACCAAAGAGACTGGATGACAACTCTATGACTGACTTATTTTACATGAATACTCTCCAGAACAGACATTTAAACAAAGTTGTTTGTATTTGTCCATTCAGGCACAAAACAGAGCTCAATACATTACTCGCACACTGTATAGGACGAATACGGCTGTACGCTTCGGCTCAGGTGTGTGCGCACAGAAAGATGAGACATGATACAATATGAGACATGCAGCTCTTCTCTTCGAGTGACAGCTAACCACTTCTTTCTTCTATCCTTTTATTTTGGTATATAATAAAATACCAGTTTGGGGTTCCTCTTTCGGCTGTTTGTGCAGCCAACTGCACAACATATTGCAGGCATTACTGAGACCGTCGTCGTCGTACTGAGACCGGTGGGTCTCGAGCCGTGCCATCACTGAACCAATCAGTCTTTTCCAAACTATCTAACTTTGACCAGTTCTTCCCCTATTTTGGCTCATCTCTTTGAAGCTTGCATGGTTGTAAAGTTCTTAGCTGGAGCCCACTCCATTTATTGCCCGAGATTAGACTGGTATTTTGGGGGTCTGGAGTGTTGATTAGTAATTAATTTTGAATGAATCACCTGGAAGATACATTTGTGTTTGGTTTGCCTTCGATTCCTACAGTATCATTCAAAACTTAAAGTTAACTTAAAACTTAAAACTTCTAGTAAATTTTTTTAATAGAAATAAATATTGTATTCAGTAAGGACAGATTTAATTGATCAAAAGTGACAGTAAGGACATTTATAATGATTTAAATATTAAATAAATGCTATTCTTTTGAACTTTTTCTATTAATCAAAGAATCCTGAAAAAAATGGATCATGGTTTCCACAAAAATATTAAGCGGGACAACTGTTTTCAGTGTTGATAATCAAAAAACGAAATGTTTTTAAGCAGCAAATCAGCATATTAGGTTAATTTCTGAAGGATCGAGTGACCCTGAAGAATGGAGTAATGGCTACTGAAAATACAGCTTTTAAAATTGCAGTTGAAATATGAAATTAGAAAACAGTTATTTTAACTTAGTCATATTTCACAATATTACTGTTTTTATTGTATTTTTGATCAAATAAATGCAACGATGGTGAGCATAAGATACTTTATATACTGATAAAGATACTAAATCTTACCAACCACACACTTTTAAATGGTATAGTAGGCTTTTACTTGTAGGTAAAGGTTTTTAAAATCATTTTACTTTTTACTGTTACAGGCACTATCATAGTATGGAAGTGTTCACCCACTATGACCTACTTAGCAACAATGGCACCAAGGTGGCAGAGGGACACAAAGCAAGTTTCTGTCTGGAGGACTCAGAATGTGATGAAGGTATGAAAGAATGTGCATGTTTTTGTAGCTGACAATTGTAAGACTAAGTTGACCTCACTCTAACTCTTTGGTTTTGAACTCATAGTTATGTTTTCTGTTCCTTTTTATACTAGTGTAAACTCTTCATCAATTTGATAATGTGCTCTTTGTATTGTTGACTTTTTTAAGGAATTGAAAAGAGATTTGAGTGTGCAAACTTTGGTGAGCAGGGGATCACAGTGGGCTGCTGGGATACATACAGACATGATATTGACTGCCAGTGGGTGGACATTACAGATGTTAAACCAGGAGACTACATATTCCAAGTAATAATGACATTTACAAAATAGTTGTAATTTTAGTACCAAATTTTAATCATATTATCCTGATTCTTTGAAACATTGTGATTAGATCTTTGAGCTAACTGTTTTCACTCTCTCTGACAGATTGTAATTAACCCCAATTATGAGGTTGCTGAGTCGGATTACACCAATAACATTGTCAAATGCAGATGTCGATATGATGGTCATCGTATATGGATGTATAATTGCCATATAGGTAAACAAAACGTCACAAATGCCTCTTCACATTGTCTTGGCATGAAAATGACTTACTATTTCCACATACATTGACATAAATGATTCCCTTTTTGACACTTTAGTCACATTTAAAAATACGTTTCCTTTTTCGTGAGTCCCTTCTTTCTAACTATGAATATTTTATTTATTTTATCATTTGAATTTTTTTTTTATCTTACCTGAAAAGTTTGCTTATTCTTGTACACTACTGTTCAAATATTTAGGGTCTAAATGTTTTATCAATATTTTTATTCAGTTAGGATGCATTAAATTGATCAAAAGTGATTTATTAAAGATTTCTGTTTCAAATAATTGCTTTTATTTCAAACTTTCTATTCATAATATTTGAACGATTTCATTCAAAGGAATACATTACACATTAAAATGTATTCAAAAAAGAAAAGAGTTAGTTTAGACTATTAATATTTTAAAATAATATTTAGAATTTTTGATCAAATAAATGCAGCCATGGTGAGCATAAAAGCCTTCTTTCAAAAACACTAAAACAATTCACAGACCCCCAAACTTTTGAATAGTAGTCTAAATGTAAAAAAGAGGCTTGGCTTGATATTGTTATATATCTTTTTTTAAATAACAAAACAATAAACGTGTTTAAAGTATAATCTAAAGTGTTTAGATATTTTTGGGACCATAATTGCATGAAATGTCATGCTTAGAATGAACATGCATATAATCCTGTATATTGAACGTCACTGTGATTCTGTGTCTCTTTTAAGGGGGCTCCTTTAGTGCCGAGACAGAAGACACTTTCCCTGGCCTGATCAACAACCAGGTGACCCATAGGTAAAAGAGAGGTGATAAAGAACGTCTAGAAACCCCGGCCAACCAGTAAGATTATCAAGAGCCATGAACCACTACACCTCTCTAGAGGACTTTTCATCTCTCAGTAATTTCATGGTACTTGTTCAACTATGCTCAGTGTCACAACATTCCTCTACTGTATTACAGTACTGAACTCTACTGAACATCACTATTTCAAAAGAAATTCAATAGACCATCTGACCACTGAGCCAGCAGCAATACTGAAACCTAATTCTTTCTCTGTTTGCTGCTGGTTTTGAAGATGAAACTGTGGATAACTCTCAAGTGAGCTCACTTCAGACATGTAAGGACCTCTGGTGCACTTTTTAACTTCTAAAAAGGATCTTTGGTTTAGGTCTTTTTGTAAGCGTTTTGGACAAGGTAAGAGGAGTTTCCTCAGATGAGTCTTCTGACAGAATATAACATAAATCTACAAAAAAATAAAGGCCTGAAGAGACCATTTTCTTTCCTTTTTAGTGACACGCATTTCAGGTATATACTTTGGCATTTTGAAAAACAAGCTGATTACTTCTGCTTATATAATTGGTTATAATTTAAGTGTCTTATGGGTTTGTAGAGGAAACAACTGATACAACTGAAGAAAGGTATGATGAGACCAATAATATTTTCTACCAAAGTCCTTTTTTATCACTATTTTTAGAAATTATATTATATAAGGCATTTTAATGTATGAATACTTTAAATATTGCCACTAGCCCTAAGCATTCTAATTCAGATTAGAAGTTCATAAACACTGTTTAAAGGGTTAGTTCACCCAAAAATGAAAATTCTGTCAGTTACTCACCCTCATGTTGTTCCAAACCTCGGTGTTTATTTGTTCTGCTGAACACAAAGGAAGATATTTGGAAGAATGTTTTAATCAAACAGATCTCATTCCCTATTGACTACCATAGTAGGAAAAAAATACATACTATGGTAGGGTAGTCAATGGGGAATGAGATCTGTTTGATTAAAACATTCTTCCAAATATCTTCCTTTGTGTTCAGCAGAACAAATAAACACATAGAGGTTTGAAACAACATCAGCGTGAGTAAATACTGACAGAATTTTCATTTTTAGGTGAACTAACCCTTTAAATGTTTTTATTTGTTTTGTTTTTTTCCCTGCCTGTCCTTCTCAGACCTTGACTGACGGTCAGTTTTTATGGACAATCATTATGAATTATTTATGCCCTGCATTCTGTGACTCTTATGAAGCTGTCTGAAAATGTCACAAGCTGTCTAATCCTTTGATTCATACAAGAGTAGGCTATTCATAGTATTTCATCTAGTACTGTCAAACGATTAAAATATTTAATCGCGATTAATCGCATTAATGTTATAGTTAACTCGCGATTAATCGCAATTAATTGTACATTTTTATCTATTCTAAATGTCTCTTGATTTCTTTTTGTCCCATTATTTTTTTTCTCATTTTAATGCGTGGATCGGCTTGCTTTGTGATCGGCTTGTTTTGTGAAAATGTTTTTTATTGAAAACAACATTGGCATATACTGTGTTCTATTCCAATAACATTCTCACTTGGAGCAAATAATCTCTCACACAATGTAACACTGTCCATCAATAAAAGGGTGAAAAAAATACTGATAAGGTCCTGATACTGACAAGGGGGCGGAGAATTCGCATCAGCTGTGTGTGTGCTTGGCCATCAAGTGCTATTTCAGACTGGACGTACTGTGATGATGATAGCTCAGTTCACAACGACAAAACACAAAGATCACTTTGGTCTTGTCAATGGAACCATTTGGCAACTTTTGGCAATAGTAAAAGTAAACTTTCCATTCAGAATCTTATTGGCATCCATTTCGGCGTCTCGCACTGGTCATCCACTAAACGTTAACCAACTATCTGGCCGGCTCTCAAGCCCAAACAAGTGTGTGCGGCGTGTATGTTGTTTTGTTTCCAGTCTAGTTAGATTCGCTAGCCATTGAAATGAATGGGTTTCATAGCGCAGAAGCAAAAGCATGTGAAAAAAACTACATGGTTTGCTAGGCCAAAAAGACTGTTTATCGCACGATAAAAAATTGACGCCATTAAAATGGGTTTGCTTTAACTCCGTTAACGTGTTTAACTGACAGTCATAATCTCATCATATAAGTTTTGAATAATTTATTTTAAAGCAACACCAAGGAATTTTTCCTCTGCGGTCGCCCTACAGGTTGGAAGTGGAATTGTCCATTACTGCTATCGTAAATAATTTAGTCTACCACAGCCTACTTTCGCACGTGCACACGCGCTGTTTATCCAGCACCGGCATCAACAATCAACAACTGGGTAATCCATCCGCTGGAAACTGAAGGCTCCCGGGGCCGCCATTGTAGCTGACTATCACCTGCTGTTAGCATTCCATTGACTCCCATTCATTTTGACATCATTTTGACAGCGATTAACTTTACATCTGAGGCATCCAAAGACTCCATTTAACCATTATTTATTTCTAAAGAAACACGACAATGTATAAAAGGCTCCATTACCTTGTATCTTATGTTATGGCCCCGTAGAAGTTTCATAAAGTTGATCCTGCTGCTAGTTCATGGACAGCTAATACTCACTCCCTCCATCTCTGTGAGATTCGGAAGGGAAATATTCAGATTTCACTCGGCACAGCTACTAGAAGACATACAGGTTGCTCACTGGCTAAGCCTGGCTATCAGCTTTTAACAGGCTTCAATATTTTCCGTTGAAATCAATGGGTTCACTGTGTTGATTTCTTTTACTGTCTATAATGGGAATCAATGAATGGCCACAGACAATTTGAGGAAGTGGTGGGGGAAGTGATGTATATGCCGTAAAGCAGTCAATTTTTCTAGTTCTTTTTGTGCTCCGGTTACTACCCGCAATCTGAAGTTACATAGTGCAAGTAAACGCAATACAGACCACGTAAGGCTATGGCAGACCGTGTCGATTAACCTATTGTAAGTTGATGTACCATCACAAGGGTCTTGGAAATATATTATGAAGGTTGAAAAACTACAAAGTGTTCCTTTAAGATAGGGATTTCAAATTCTATTTCGTAATTTCTTCTTTTTTCAAAGTGGAATGTCTTGCATTTGTTGTCTGCCGTTGGTGCTAACAGTGTTATCCTCTGTTTTTTGAGGGACCATATCAGCTACTTTTATATTATACTTACTTGAATGGGTGTAAAAATCATGGATGAATGTGATGTAGCATAATAAACATGCATTATTTGGCAAAGAAAAACAATATGTAGTATGCCTATTCATTATCCCAGTTGTTTTCCTAGAGTCATTTTTTCTTCTCCTCCTCATTATCCTGTGGTGTTTTCCAAGGTTTCCAGATGCTGTATTCACTTCATCCACTAAGGTGTACTCTAGTAACAAAACTAAAAAACGATAAGACATCAGGACTCACTTTTTCAGTGTGCATTAGTGTTGCAGCTGACAACTATGCAGCAATATAATGATTGGATCCTTTTATCACTGCATACTGTATACTGTTTTACATACAATGTTTTAATTAGTAGGCAGCATGTACAGTATACTAGATAGTAGAGATGCACCGATACTAATTTTCCCAGCCAATAACTACTGCCGATTATTCAGAATGATATCTGCCGATGCTGATACTGATAGTTAGATTTAGCCGCGCACTGACTGTCCAGAGTGTGGTTTGAGGACCTAGTGTGCCTCGGCAACAGCGGGACCCACACCTCGGGGAGCGCGAACCGTACTGTCCTCCTCAAAGAATGCCCAGTGGGAGCGGAGCATTCTCATAGATAGCTCCCTCGAGAACTGACTGGGCATGCTCCACTCCCAGACAAGCCACACAAAGCTGATGTGTGTGTCAGCTCGAAGTTCCCTTGAAAGGGAACCTTAGACGTGATTTAATGCTTGCTTCTCTCACGGGCTTTCTTCCAAATCTGACTGGCTGAATAAATGGTTATGTCTGTTTTATCGGTTACATCTTTCTGCATGCTTCGAAGCAGTTGAACACATTTAACAGAAGTGTTTTAGTAAAATGATTAGCAAAATAAAAGTAGTAAAATAATTAACAATTACAACAAATATATTAATTTTACTTGTTCAGTTTCTCATCTGCGTACATTTCTTGTTGCTAATACAAAAATGTGAATTGTAGCTGCATACAGTCTGAAGAGTAGAATTTCATGGATAAAAGTTAAATAAAAGTTGAGGAAAGAAGAACACCATGTCTCTTGCAGGTCTTAATTAAAACCAGTCTGAAAAAAATGCGAGCCAACTTTGTGCTGGAGAGATGATGGCCAGACAGACTGAGAATCAATATTTGTTTTGAAGAAGTGTCAGCTCAAGGCTTTGGTCTCTTAAGAGAGAAAAAACAGAGCATTCAGAAACTTGGAATTTGGGTACTGGAAGTAGCCAGGATTTATCAAAATCCAAGTTATGCTTCTCTGTAATTTCAAAACCTCTCAATTCAGAATTCAGAAGAACATCTCTGTGCTCACTGCACTCATCTCAAGGAACATTTCTTTTCGTCTTCTCTTTTTGTTACTGTATGATACTGTATAGAATATTTTTTACTGAACACTAATTTAGTCTAATTTAAAATTAAATGGCTGTGGACTAAATGTATAAAAATGTTGACAGTCATTATAGGAAAGCAAAAAAAGATCTCTGTTTATTATTTCTTTGAAGATGTTAGATTGAAAGTTAGATTTGATTACATATTAGGGATATTAGGTAGCAGCACATCATAAACCACACTAAATAATATAAATAAAACCCATCATTAAAATAAGTCATTAAAACAAACTCAATGTTTGACTCATATGGGTTTCATCCTTTTTCCTCATTGAACTGTATAATAATGGTAAGTTAATGTTAAATAAAAAATAATTAAGTCATAGGGGCCTAAATGAAAATACAATGATAGATTGGGAATTTGGGACAGTGTAGTATTGCATAACATAGCAGGCAGACTTGAAAAGATTAATTATGTCTCAACTAAAGAAGACATGACGTTCATGCTGACTTCCCTGTTACTTGGATGACTGATTTCTGATAAAGAAACCTTTCTGCCTAATCCTAGACAATTTGTACAAACTATGGTTTACAAAATGTCTCAGTTGAGTATTTGCGTTATTAGACAATGACAGACAAATTGGGAGAAAAATAAACAGCAGGTCATTCTAAAATCAACTTTAAATAACAGTGTGCGAATAGAAAGTAGCTTGTTATACAATATCAGGCATTGTTTAGAGAAGATAAAAACATGCTAGAACTTCATCCTCATCAAATTCAAACATTATAAGTCTTAGTTTTCACTGGGTAAAAACATGTTTTTACCCTTCAAAATCTTTTTTTAAACACTTGTATTGGAGAACTGAAGCTGCTGTTCATATAATTGAATGGGCTTTTCATTTACTTGTGATTCTGTAAGTCAATCAGCTTTATATATATATATATATATATATATTAGGGCTGTGCAAAAATTAATTGCGATTAATCGCATCCAAAATAAAAGTCTGTGTTTACATTATATATTTGTGTGTGCTGTATATAATTATTTTGTTTGTATAAATACCTATGCATGCATGTATATATTTAAGAATTATTTGCGCTTAAATTCTGTATATATGTATATAAATACATAATCTAAATTTTATAAATCTAAATATTTTATAGATGAATAACACATTTTCTTAAATATATACATGCATGTGTGTGCATTTATATATACAAAATAATTATATACAGCACACACAAATATATTATGTAAACACAGACTTTTATTTTGGATGCGATTAATCGCAATGAATTTTTGCACAGCCCAAATATATATATATATATATATATATATAGCTAACA